AGGTAGCATGTCATTAACTGACCCAGAGTGGTGGTTCTCCATCTAGTTATAATCTCAGTCACGTGAGGCATTTCACCTCCAATTCCAGACACCTGGGTGGGGCTCCTAGAAAATGGCCAGATTGGGTGGGTATAGGAGTAGTTTGAAACTACTTCAAGTCAGTGGTAGGGTGTGGTAGAGAAATAGCTAAATAAAGAAAATCTCCTGAGTATAACTACCATTCTAAGGGCATTAGTTGTTAACCTTGTTCTTTTGAAGCTCTTTTTTAATCACTCTTAAGTTTCTAACTTAGAATTTTCTTAATTCTAAGGGTTGGAGAAAGTAATAGAGATTATTAAGCTGTTTTTTTAAAAACAGCATTGTTTAAATATCATTTGTGTATCATTCAGTTCACCTCCTGAAAGTGTACAGTTGAATTATTTTTTCTGTTGCTGGGGATCGAACCCAGAACCTCACACACACGAGGCAAGCGCTCTACCAGCTGATCTTCCTCAGTCCTTGAGTAGTTTTTAGTATGTTCACAGGTTGTGTAGCCATCATGACAATACATTTTAAAACATTTTTAACACTCCAAAAGGAAACCCCATATCCATTGTAAGTTATTTTTTTAAGCATAAGTCTAACTTTCTTGTTTATGATAAAGATTTATAGGTTAGTATCAAGGTATTTTGATTCAGGATACTATTACATCAGATTTCACATTCACTTCTATTGAGTTATATTATTTTTTAGAGGAAAAATGAAAAATAAATAGACCTCTCAGGCCATGTCCAGTCTTTCAAATGAAAGGACAACAAAGGTATGCCTCTCTGTACTGCTCCTTCCCGTTGAATAACATGACATCCTTTATGTGATGATTAACAAGCAGTGATGACTGACATGCTTCAGTAACTTATTTTGAATACAGCAGGTAGTAAACTGACTGATATTTCTGCTCACTGGGTAGGTGTGCTTTATTCTGCTTGAGATGGGAGAACTTAGTTTTGATCACTTTCCATGAATATGTCATCTTTCTGAACATAACCAAATGAGGCTCTCGGTACTGACTTAATTCAGTTTCATTGGAATTCTTTTGAAATAAGCATCTTGATTAAGTGGCTTTTCCAAAGACTGCCATTTATGTAACCCTACAACACTGACAGTTGTTATCTTACCTAAGGTAGGCTGTATCCCAGCCTGGACATTGGAAGTTTGAGATTGGGAATTGGGGCTATAAAATCCCAACTGGTCCCAATAAAGTGAGACCCTGGTTTACTCATGGTCATCTTCAGGAAGAGGAGATGCTGGGACAGAATCCTGGCATCATTCCAGGGGCCAGGTTACTTCCCGTGGCTTCCAGGTGTTAGAATACCAGGAAAGACAATGGTCTATTCATAACTCCAGTTATACCCAGCTCTAGTTTTTGATTCTAGAGTTACTGTTCTGTAGGTTTTCATCACTTCTTTCCCCTTGACACCCATTTCTATCATCCTGGAGGTATACCCATGGACCACCCAGCTACCACATATCCAGAGCCTTGGGCTCCAAGACGTTAATAGCGTCCCCTGGGAACTTTTGGAATTTACTTTATTTATTTAATCCTCTTCAAATAAGAGTTTGCGTACTTTTCACTGCCAGACTTTGAAAAAAAAAAAAAGAAGAAAGCCAAAGACAAACACACACCAAAAAAACCTACCACAACACTCATTCAGCCCCTGTGACCTCAAACAAAATCTTACCACTGTTGCCTAAGACCTGTGTTGTATGAATGAGGGAATGCCGTGGGTGGTTCTGCCTTGGTGGGCTGCACAGTTTGTGGGTTATTGCAGCTGTGGCTTCTGTTTTCTCCCTTTCCTGCTGCATTGATTTGGTCTCTTTCTTTGGTTATTTCAAGAGGGTGGAAAGAATTAAATTCAAGAGATGTTCTCCATTTTCTAGAAACAGTTGAGGTAGAAACCATGGGCCAATGAGAGTTTGGAAATATCTGATTTTCTTTATTTCTGTTTTGATTCATCAAAAGGTGATGTGTTTTGACATGGAAAAAATAACCCAACCTTGGTTTATAAGCCAGGTCTGCTTTGACAATGGACTCCATTCTGTGTCTATTCTAGGTTCTCAAACTTCAGTGGCAAAGATTCACCCAAGGGAATTACTGGACCCTGCCCCTTGAGGTTCAGTTTCTGTGGGGGAGGGGCTAGAATTTTGCTTTTAGAAAATTGTTCCCAGGTTTGTCTGATGCAGGTGAACTACGGGCTGGCTTTGAGAAACTCTCCTGGCATTTGTACTTGCTATGAAGGTACCAGCCCAGTGTCTGCTGAGATACAGTGCTTGGCAATTAGCAGTATGTAATTACAGTGTGTACTGTTTCCAAGGCAACATGTGTTCTGTCACTTCTGCTAAGGTTGGCCTCAGTCACAGTGTGGCCTCCAGATTAATGCCATTGGTGTGCTTTATGATGACTGGATTTTTCATGCCATTCATCCAAGGACTCTGCTTAGTGGGAGCAGCAATGATGAAAGTAAACACATTAGGAGCCAGAGAGTCACAGGGTGACTTCTGGAGGCAGTGACAAGGACAGGAGGAGGGATGAGGTGCTTGCATTTTTCTCCCTTCTATCTTCTCAAATCAGTTTTGTCCAGAATGCTAAGAATGTGGAAGAACAGGAGTTAGCCTTGAAAGGCTTTTCAGAATAATATCTAGCTGTGTTAAATGTTTGTCTACCACCATTTCTTAGTTCTCAATTGAAATAGTACTGTTTGTTGAAAGGTCACTTGTTTTCAGTTGGGGTGGGGCTGGGGGGGCATGGTTTAAGTGGTAGAGCACCTGCCTAGCAAACACCAGGCCCTGAGTTTGTTCCCCAGTATCACCAAAAAAAAAAAAAAAAAAAAAAAATCAGGTGCGATAGTACACACTTGTAATCCCAGCTATTCAGGAGCCCGAGACAGGAGGATTGTGATTTCAAGGCTATCCTGGGCGAAGTTATTGAGACCCTATCTCAAAAAACAAAATAAAAACAAAAGTGCTGGGGATACGGCTTATGCAGTAGAGCAGTTGCCTAACATGCCCTGGGTTAAATCTCCAGTATTATTTAAAAAGAAAGAAAGAAAAAGCTCATTTGCTTTCACTTCTGTCCAGTGCAGCTTGAAGTAGATGTTCATTGAGTTTTTCCTTTATGACAGGAACTTGCATATGGATTTTCTTCCCTCTGTGACCTAAAAGCACTTTGATTTTCTTCAGTCTACATGCAAAGGTTCCACACTTGGTGCATTTTCACTTTTAATGAAAAGGCTAATTCTATACTATATTTTAACATGGGATTTAGGTTTTTGGTTTTAGTTATGAAGCTGTATAGAATAGTGGAAAAAAGCATGCCAGTAAGCCTTCAGGGTTTGTTCTGAATTCCATCCTAAACAGGCTTTGGGACTTGCAAGCAAGTTTCCTAACTTCTTCCAGACTCTTTCTATTTCTAGAAAACGAAGAGCTTAGACTAGATTTGTGGTCCTGACTTTTGAAGGGTGACAAGTACCTCGCAGAATCAGTGAAAACTAGGAAGCGCCTTCCCTGAAGAACCTGCATATACACTCTCTTGGACAAAGATTACTTTCAATTTCCAGAGGACCACTGACTTCTCCTAAATGAAGTAATTGCTGAAGGCTCTTTCAGCAGCAACTCAGAGTTGCTGGGTCCTACAGGGCCGGGAGAGCCTTGCATTGTTTAGAGTAGCCCCTGGGGAATGAGGTATTTGATAAGGGAGGTTTTGTTGTTCCTGGCAACTTTTACTGTGCATTTAGCAGGGGGTGAAGGGGGCAGGGACAAAAGCTGGACAAATAAATATGGAGGAGCGATATCTGGAATGTGAACTGTTTTTCTTATCATTTTTCAAAAGAGGTAGATGGTATAATTGCAAAATAGAGGATTTCTGAAGGATTACTTTAGCATGCATGTATCAGTCTGTTTTTTGTTACTGTCATGGAATACTCATGGTTAGGTAACTTTATAAAGAGAAAAAGGTCTATTAGTTCATGGTTCTGGAGGCTCAAGGATACGCCTGGCACTGGCGGCACTTCGGCTCTGGTGAGAGCCTTGTGGAGGACGGTAACCACAATGGAGGAGTGCACATAGAGGCGAGTGGTCAGATTGCCAAAAAGTCACAGATTTAAGTGTGGGGTTCAGGCTTTTTTATCTTATTTATTTATTTTATTTTTTAATAACAACTCACTCTTATAAGAACTCACACCAAGAGACCAGCTTTCCCTTCTGAGGTCACACCCCCAGTGATCTAAAGATCTTCCACTTGGCCCCCACCTTTTAAAGGTTCCATAACCCCCCCACAGTGCCACCCTGGGGACTATGAATCCTCGGGGGACAAACCATATTCAAGCCATAGCAAATTAGAGACAGCATTTTGTACAGTGGCCTTTGAGCTGTGACTTAAACTTGTTCTACTTTGAATGTTTGGGAACTCATTTGTACGTGGAATCTTAAAACGTCTAACTCGCTGAGGCAGGCTGGTGGTGAGGGAATAGGGGATTGAGGAATTGCTGATCAAAAGATGTAACTGACTTTGACATGAGGAAAAAGTTCTGGAGGTCTCCTGTACTACGTGGTGACTCTAGTTCATACGCATGCTGTGTGTACTGGAAAACTGCTAGATTTTAAGTATTCTCATCACAATAAAAAGTAAGTGTGTGAGGCAATGCCTATAGGTTTATTAGCTCATCAGCCAGTACACGATGTGTACATATTTCCAGCTTTCACATTGTATGTCATAAGTGTACAATTTTCATGTCAGTTAAAACAAATAAGAAAAAATAAAGTTTTCTGACAATGTCAGAAGATCCTAGGGAGTAGATCATTAGTGGAAAAGCGTATGTTCATTACTGTCCCCAGATGTTAACTCTGACCATCATCTCAACCCAACCCTACCTCCTATCCCTGGCCCAATGTTGTAACCCAATCAGGAAAGAAAGTCTGTAGTGTTTATTTGGAAGCTTACATTCATTCATTCTTTCTCTGCCTAGGTGTTGACAGATCTCCTAGGACTGCGGAAGTCTGAATGAACTAAACATGAAGAGCTTGAAGGCAAAGTTCAGGAAGAGTGATGTAAGTGTGCCGTGACTCATGGTCTGACTGCTCCACTCTGCTCCACGGCTGCAGGAGCAGCCTCCACTGGCGCCCTGATAAGGCACTGGGTTAATAAACGACAGACACCAGAAGCACTAGCCCTGCTCAGGATGACTGCTGTCAGTGGGCACGCTTTAGGTTCCTTGTTGGTTGTGTGTACAGCTTTCAAAAATGTCTTTAAAAAAATTCTTGGGGTCTGTGTCTTGTGAAGAAACAAACAAATGAAATATCTTAAAGGAAAGTCAATGAAAACCTCAGCATTCCAAAGCTGTCAAAATCCTATTCACAATGTCATTTTTAAATGAAGTGTTCTCACCAGGGAGGTTAATGTGGTTCAACTTTCTCTTCAAGAATCTTGTAGCTGGGTACATGGCTCAAATGGTAGAGCACCTGCCTAGCAAGTTTGAAGCCCTGAGTTCGAATCCCAGTACTGCCAAGAAAAAAGAAAAAACTTGTTTAATTCTTTGCTAAGCCCTTCCTGGTGAGGCAACAATATCCTTTGCTGCCTGTACCTTTACTCTCCCTGAATTCCCTGGGTTCTTACTCATTTGTTATCTGTCATAAAAGACTGCATTGGAGGAACCAGTTATGACGTCAGACTCATGAAACAAAGTCTCCCATTGGAGAAAGTAGAGAAAAATAGCATAGCAGAGGGGTTACATGTAGTGATATTTTAACAAAAGGTTGCCTCATAAATCCTGCTGGGATTCCAGTCTTGAATGAGCTGCATTCCAAAAGCTTCGAGCAGAGTGTTGCCTGGGAGAAATTCATGGAAGGACATTAGATGGAAGCCCAGATTTGTTACCCTCAAAACGGGCTTGCTTAGTTACTACTTAAAATTAGGTAATTAAAAATGAACCCAGGTCTTACTGCTTTTGCCATGAATTCTATCTTGACAGCTTGGCACAATTGCATTTTTACAATAAATGGAGGCTGTGACTTTTATGGCTAGCGTATCACACATGCACACCTGCTTTTGGCTGAAGCTTATCTCCTGAGGCTGCGTTGTGACTTGAAGCTTACTGTTCTGATAAGACCCAGGCCAGACAAGATGCCTTTAGGATGACTGGGAAATATTGTCTCATTTAAAGAAAGTGCTGGAAAGGGTTCTTAGGAAAAAGTTGATCTCACCTTCTCATTCTTAAGGTAAATTAACTAAAGCTCACAGAATATAAATTGACTTGGCTATAGTCAGGTAGTTAACCATTGGCCATAGAAAGAGCCCCAGTCATTTAACTTCCTTAGTTGCCTCTCCCCGCAAAATCTTTGTTTTGCTGGTATTGGGGTTTGAACTCAGGGCCTCACACTTGCTAGGTGGACCAGTCCCCCCAAATCTCAAATCTGCCCATCTACAGGTTGTGTGATGCTAAGCCTACATTTCTTTGGATTTCAATTAAAGAGGAAATGGCAACCAAATGGGCAGTGTTAACCAGTTCAGCAGATAGGGGTTTGTATATTGTGTGATCAGGTTAATACATGTCTTTTTCCGCTCAGTGGACTTGTAGCTTCCATCTCTACACTATGAGATTATTTTAGCAAGAGTTTCTGGTCTAGAGTGCCATGATATATGAACAAGAGTGGACTGCAGGGAAACGATAGCTCCATTAACTTTTGGCTTAATTTTTTTTTAAACTGGTGGCAATAGAAAATGTATTGCTGGAATCTAATTTTAAAATAAGAGTTGAAATATGTCCATGATATAAAAAAAAATCACAATAATAACACTTGTAAAAGCTTCTGGGATCTGGCAACAGAAAAGGCCGTGATTTTGGCAGTGAGCTGAGAGAAGGAATGTTGGGGGAGCAGCCCAAGGGGAGGAGAGCAAAGGAAATTGGTTGAATGGAGCCAGACAAATTCACATGGCTTCCCAAATTCAGCCCAAATTGGTTCCCCAAACTACGTCACTGTGTAGTTAAATGGAGGAAATAAAAAAAAAAAAAAGAAAAAGAAAAGAAGAGATAGTCCTTTCAAACCCTGGTCTGTCAACGAGCCATGTGACAATAATGACAGCTAGTCGTCACAAAGTAGTTACTACGTGCTAGGTGGCCTGCCAAGCCCGTCTCGTGAAATTCATTTACTCTTGCCACAAAACTTACGTGGTGGGTTTTATTATTAAAACATATTTTGTAAACACTTTGTCTTCCTTATTAGGCTTGTGTCTTTTCTTCAACAAAATTAGTGATAAAGGCAGAACAGGACCTGCCTGGAACTGAGCGGGGAAGAGGGGGAGAGGGGAGGGGAGGGGGGCAGGGGGGAGAAATGACCCAAACAATGTATGCACAGGTGAATAAATGAATAATTAATAAAAAAGAGGCAGCTATAAAGAAACAAACAAACAAACAAGCAAAAACATATTTTGTAGGTGAAGAAACTGAGGCCTGGGGAGGGTCTTAGAGCCCTAAGTTGTAGAACCAGTTTTTATACCAAGGTTCTGGGTCCCCAGAGCCTGTGTTTGCTGAAAAAGGAGTTTGGAATGGAGACTCTAGTTTAAGAAACAACAAGTAATCTGAGGGAGCAGCTTGGAAAAGCAACTTTGAACTTGGATTTAGATTTGTGGCCTTGGGTTCATCTCCTAAAAACCGGAAGAAATTATCCTATCATCCTCACAAGATTGTTGGGAAGGTCAAGTGCACTAATGGATGGTGGATACATGCCTACCTCAGGGCCTTTCACTCAAGAGCTGCTTGGCCAATACTTATTCCTTTCTCCTAATAAGAAACTTACAGTGAAAAGTAAGATTCAACAGTTTGTAAGCTCCAGAAGGCAGAATAATCCAGTAATAATTGCTGCCTCTGAGGAGGGAACTGAGAGCTGGAAGAGAGTGGGCAAATGAAGCTTGCTTTCCAGTGTATGCCTTCTGGTTTGAGGTTTTTGGTAAAAGGTACACACATATGAGCGTGTTACTTGCTACGAGAAAAGTAAGTTTATAGATAATTACATTCACTTAAGTGAACCAAATGATAGTCTTTACCTGAAGTGAGTGGTCTCTCATGTATCCTAAAACATCAGCCATCCATTTTCCTGTTTGTCTTTGTGCGAAGGAGAAGGGGTAGAAAGAGTTCTTTGTGTTTCTGGGGGTTAGGAGAAGAGGGTAGCAGATCAGGTTCACGCTTACATGAAGAAAAGACAGGTGACCCACCGGTAGGATCACATTTCAGCCAGTCTGTGTCTGGGAGGTCTCAGCCAGATCAGTTTGTGGCCATTGAGAATGAAACCCAGAAGTAAAAGAAGAACCAGAGTGGACCCAAAGAGCCCCCGTGATGGTCTTCAGGCCACTCTGCTACTCTAGGACTGTCATGCTGGGAGAGATTTGATCAGAGTATCCTTTTTGGAACATTAGACCTAGACTCAGCCTGCCCTATGTCTATGGGGGTTGAGTGTGATTCTGTGGGCTGTGGTTAGATAATGTCATTGTCTACTTGCTTTGACCCCTAAATATATTTGGGATCCTGCAGGTAACCTACAGAGGCTACAGAGAAATAGGGAGCTTCGATGGTGGATGACACTTTTTTAGCTCACATTTATAACTATTTTATGAGTCGTTACATTTGTGTTAGATAGTGGGGAGGAAATACAGAAGAAATGCAAAGTATGGGTTTGTCTTTAAAAAACTGATAAGCTGAACAGGGTGGTGCTCTTCTGTAATCCCAGTACTTGGGAGGCAGACTCAGGAGGATAGGAAATTTGAGGACAGCCTGGGCTACATAGCAAGTTCCAGGCTATACAGCAAAACCTTGTGGGTTTTTTTGTTGTTGTTTTGTTTTGTTTTTTAAGGAATCTGATAAACTTAGGTGGGAGGAAAAACATGTGCAGGAAATAACTGAAGAAAAATATAAATATGACATATATATTAAAGGGGCTTTGAAGATGATACATAACTTAGTGGTTAGTTTGTGAAGACTGGTAAACACTCTTGACGTTCAGAGGGACGGACGAATCACTGTGAATGGGAGGCTTCTTGGAGATGGAGTTTCACCTAGGCCTTGAGAATGGGTGTGTTTGGAAAAGGCTTAGGACAGTGGGTTGACTCAGTCTCAAACGTTGCCCGTGACAATGCAAAAGAGTAAGCCTTGAGGAATTCAGGAGAGTGCCTTGGTAGGTCACTGAGTGTTTCAATAAGAGCACTGTGAGGTTTCCATTCCAGTTTCTAATAACTGGGTAGGTCTAATAAATGGGTAGGTGACTTTTGTGCTGCCATTCTTTTCAGTCTTTTATCTTCTAGTTTGCAAGTGGCCTCTTTACCTCTTTAAATATTTGCAGCAACTAGTATGTGGTTCCACTTGGAAAAATGGGCTGTCATCATGAGACATGAAGCCAAGAGGGTTGGGATTTCCCTTGGCTAATAAAATTCTCAGACTTCTGGAATTTCTTAGCAAATGCCAATTTTTAGTGCTTTGAGTGAAAGGGGTGGAGGTTGAGTTGATGGATAGGAAATGGGATTGAAAGGTCTTTGTAACAAATCTTGAGAAATGCCACTGTAGCATGATGGAGGGCTTCACAGTTTACTTTGTGGGTGTGTGTTTAATTTTATGAAAGATTTGTTCCCGGATTTGTTTTCCATTGTCACAGGGAAGCAGCAGACATTCCATTAAAAAAAAAAAAATCAAAGCAGCCAGTTTAAAACCACTGGCTTCACAAAAGATTAAAAGGATGGTATACCTTTACGTAGCAGCTACTGACTATTGAAGCCTTCAGACAAGGAAATGCACACACCCCATGAATCTTGAGGAACCAGACATATCCTGCTCAGTGCAGGGTCTGAATTTGTTGCTTGGTGAGATAACAGTTCTCATGAAGGTCGACAAGCAACATCTTTGCCAACGTATTTTTTCAAGGGTTTTTTAGTCATTTATCACAAGTTTTTACAGATGCCTGAGTCTCCCTCTCCCAGCCACACACATGTGTTCACACACACACATACAAGAATGAGTATTTAAAATCCAAGTCTCTCTCTAGACAGAGGAGCCTTGGCCAAATCC